CACAGCCATGTCCACTTGTTTATGTATTGTCTATGGCTGCTTCTGAGTTACAGCCAGAGCTGTGGTTTCTACAGAGACCATATGGCCTGCAAAGCCTAAAATATTTACTATCTGGGCCTTTACAGAAAAAAGTTTGCCAACCCTAGCACAATGAGCTGCGTCCACAAGAGCAAAGCCTTTAGTTAGAGTCACTGTAATATTTCCAGGCCTGGAAGAATGCCTGGTTGATGGTAGGCATCCAATAAATATTTTTGGAATGAATATTTTTTGGAATAAATAATAAAGGGGGAATTATGTGATTTAAAGACCAGATGTAAGAATTTGAACCACTGAGAGCGTCAACACTTAGAGGGAATTGGCTTGAGGGACATTAGGAGGAAAGGAGAGTCGAGAAGAGCCCCTGTCTCAGGAACTCAGTGACAGTGGCGGAGAAGGTCCAAGGCCAGCAAGTTCAAGAAGAGGTTTATAGACCTAGCTGTTGGGAGGACACTGGTGCACTTCCCAAGAGCCATTTCAGGAAATGCAGCCTGCAGAAGGACAAAGACATGGTAACAACTACCATGTGCTACATTTTGGGGCTTGGGCAAAGCAAAAGCTCAGCAAAGGTATAATGGGAAAGGGTGCCATCTTAAAAGGCCTGGGTCTTTTGGGACCTTGGCTTGGAAGTTGACCCCTGAGTTCCCAGCCTGTTTGTTCTGATATCCATCCTTCAAATGGAGGAAAAGTGTGCCACACACATTCCAAGTTCACATATTGTTTAAAGGACCTGCTGATCCTTTATTGACTCACTCACATTCCAACCCCCCCCCCCGCCCCCCAGACCCAGAGCTCCAGGCTTTCCCCGTGGGCTTAGCATCTTCTGAGGCCTGGATAATAAGCTCCAGGGGAATTGCTCTGTATGTTCTATGAGAGTTTAAAGCAAAAAGTGTAGGGCTGAAAATTTTATTTATTTCTTCCCCTCTTTCTCTTCTGGGAGCTTAAATCAAAGTTCTCTTCTGCCAAGGTTATCAGAGTATATTAATTGATGCCCAAATTGCCCAGCTCAGTTTGAATGTGTTTGAATCAGTTCAAACCTTTGCAGAGCCAGCTAATGGCAGGATCAAGAGTTACAGTTCCATTCCTGGGTCAATTCCCTTCTAGAGGAATTATATCCATGCTGGTTTTCTCCACATGAGTCTGAAGTGAGATAAGGTGCTAGGGTTTGAATGTCCCCACCAAAACTGTTGAAGCTTAATCCCTGCTGTGAGTATTAAGAGGTGAGACCAGTGGGACTTTGAATCATGAGGGATAGCTTCATGAATGGGAATCCCATTTGTGGATTAGGGAATTAATGGGTCATTTATTAAAGCCAGTTTGGCTTTGCCTCTTGTATGCATTCCTCTTGCTGCATGACACCCTATATTACCTCAGAACTCTGAAAAGAGTCCTCATAAACAAGAAGGCCCTCATCAGATACAGCCTCCTAACCCTGTACTTTCCTGTTGCCAGAACTGTAAAAAATAAACTTCTTTTCTTTAGAAAGCACCTAGCCTCAGGTATTCTGTCATAGCAATGGAAAACAGACTAAGACAGGTTGGTGAGGGAAGCATCTATCACAGTCTCAATGCTCAGAAGGTATTCAAAGATTTATTTTCCCTCTCTTCCCAGACTGTGAGGAGGCTGGTGCCTCCAACTATCCTTTGATTCTATGCTGGGGGATTGTGAGGAGCTGACTATTTAGATTTTCTTTGAGGGAATGCAATTGTGGCATAAATTCATTACCTGAGCTTAGGTATAGGGAGATTCTCTAAGGATGTGGTTTCATTTAGGTTTTCTTTAAGAAAAGTTGCTCAAGCTGTCATATAAATGAGGAGTGTGAGGTTTTGTTAATTCATTCCTTGGAAAGAGAGAAGCCATTCTGCTGCTTAATAAAGGGCTTTCTCGAGGACGCTGTCCTGTTTCTCTCACCTTGGCTGGTGGTGACCACCTGTGAGGTGGTGGGGATAGAAGCAGAGGTGTGAGCCCCTGGGTGAGGCCACCCCTCACTCTCTGGCAGATGATTCTTCTGGATAAAGATTAAGTCAGAACTGGGCTTCAGTGGCATGGGGCACACTGGACCAGTAGACCTGGGAACTGGCTGAGAATAGCCCTCTCCCTGTCTACACCTCAGGGGCTCATTGACCCCGTGTCTCTCCGACCCCCATTAGTGTCGAGGGTTTTGGAGGTGGGACGGTTTGAGGCTCCTATTAACGTCTGAAGACATATTTAGAATCTAAACCCTGAAGCCTTCCTCCTGGGATCCTGCTGCAGTGGTGACTGTTCAGCTTGTTTCCACTAGAGGCCGCTGTGGTCAGGGAGTGGCCCCAAGAGCCGAGCTGTTTACCAAGAGGGAAAAAGAAAAAGACAAAGAGAAATTATTTCAGTTCATGACTAATTTTGTGATTTCAGAAGATTTGGCTGGTGTGCTTGGCCCCTGCCCTCATTTTGCAAGTATGTGACTCCTTTCTTATACAATGGCCCTGCCAAGACGGCTTCATCAGAAGGTCCCTTATGTTTGACCCGCAGGCCTTTTTGTTGACAGGTGCAGGCTGCTGTGGCTGATAGGAACTGGGCTCTACGCTTCATGTCCAACACAGTACTTAGGGAGAAATAGCTCTTCCTTCTGGGCAACTCTTCTGAGGTTTCAGATGAGAATTGAATCTCAATGATGAGTCCGGAGTAACAGACAAAGAAGAGGACAAACTAGACGGGAGAGGCAAGGTGTCATCAGCACATTCTCTGGATTCTGTAAATCTCCATCAGGCTAAGACTAAGAAAAGGAACTACTGGTGCTTTGATTGAATCCTAGTCAGAATTTATTGAGCACCTACTATGTGCAGAGTCCCTTACATCAGTTAACAGGATCTACATAAGCTTTCTTTGGAAGAACTGGGTTAGAAATTTGGTGGAGAGGTAGAGGAAGAGTTGGGAGACTTTTGAAAGTGGGAATCACAGGAGCTAAGAGTGTAAGAAAAGCTTGTAGATTATAGCTATTTAATTTACCAGTAAATAGAAACTGGATGAGGGAAAGAGTGAATTAAAGGGTGGGATGCAATCCTTTCTTTATTTGCTGTGGCTAGAAAACATGACAGCTGGAGAAATGAATCCCTGCTGAAGTGTGATTTCCTCCATGTTGCTAAAAGGTCACGGTGGCATTGTTATTCTTTATTATTTTTGTCATTCTTATCTTGGATATTTTTTGCTAGTATGAACAATTGACCACAAGGGACATGCATCATCGCTTATCAATTTAGCCCTTTTCAATCTGAAACAAGGCAAAACAACAACATAAACTATTCCTTGATGATGGAAAATAGACCTGAAATCAGTGGCATTAATAATTGGGCTTCATGCCATAGTGTTTTGGCCTGGGCAGTGTGGCGCTCTTGCGATTTGGCTCCAGGAGAGGATCTATAATTTTTGTGAGGACAGAATCCAGGCAGGACTTCTGCACTTGCTGTCTGTAGCTCTCTCCTGGGGACAGACAGTGCTAGAGGAAAACAAAGCAAAATCAAAACAACCCAGAGTCATCATAACTCGATCTCCCTGTGCAGCTTCGGTCTAGGCAAGCTTGGCCCCCAGGATTTCTGGACACAGAGGCAAAGTGGGACCTGTGAGTTGAAGGATATAGGACAGACTGGAAAATGCCTATGTCCATTAGGAAACTTCTTTCTCTCTTTTGACCCTTCCTCTAATGGCAGGTGAATGAGCATTTAGGAAAAATATAGAGAATGAGCACATAGTAGGTGCTCAAGAAATGCAATTCCCTCCTTCTCCTTTTCCTCTTTCTCTAACCACAGCTGTCAATTCAGTGATCTCTGGAGAGAAAGAACTGGCTTTCTACCTTACGACTCTTGCCCCTTGGTTAGGAAAGATAGTGTGCTCAGTTTATGTAGCTGGAGGACAATGTCCTTGGGCTTTACAGGGTCAGGTGGGGGAACAGCATCAGAATGAATGTGGAAAATCTAGACAGAAAGCTGATCACCAGAGAAACAAACCTAATAGAGAAGCTATGGGAGTACAAAGACCTCATTTTACTGAGAGTAGCTCTGGGTGTTTTGTGGATTCTGCCTGAGTAATGTATTTCCTGCTTGTAAAGCATTTGACAGGTTTAAGATGCATCAAACTGAGCAGATTTGTTGTGAAATGCAGTACACATATGCTGAGTATTTTAGTAGACTCATAGGCACCAGGCATGCTTTTTCTTCTGGTGTGAGAATACAGAGACACATGACTCCCTTTCCTTCCATCACAGTTCCCAGCAGAGATCTCTGGATTTACATAAATATAAAAATAAATGTGTATGCCTGGAAATCAGAGCCTACCAGATTTCTCAATGTTGTCTTTTCTTTTTTTAAATGGGAGGCTCAGCATTCATGAGTCTTTGATGGAAGTGACCCAAAATGATTATTGATTTTTAATGATTTTTCTTGTACATCATCCCTGCCCAAAGGGTGGTCCCCAAACATCAGGATCAGCATCACTTAGAAGCCCATTGACAGGGCAGAATATCAGCTCTACCCTAAACATGGTTCAGTGGTTTGAAGGTGTCCCCCCCAAAGCATGTGTTGGAAACCCAGTTCCCCAATGCACCAAGCTGGGTCCTGGGGGGAGGTGTTGAGGCCAGGAGAACATCACCCTCATGGATGGATTAATGTTGATATAAGAGCTTGAGGTTGGGAGATTGACCTCTTGCTTTCTCTCTTGCCCATGTGATGCCTTCTTAGAAGAGGCCCTCTCCAGATGTTCCCCGAGTCTCAGAACTATAAGAAATACATTTCTCTTATTTAAAATAAATAATCCTATCCATGGTGTTCTGCTGTAGCAACACACAATGGACCAAGACGTCTAATGAATCAGAATCTGCTTTTTATCCAGACTCCCAGGAGATTCAAGAGCACACTGAAATATGAGAAGCGCTCTTCTCCTTCAGCTCTGACAGATGCCACCCACCTTCCCCAGAGACAGCCAGCTTTCTGAAACTTTCCTACTTATTAGCTATTATTGAGCTTTCTGGAGCAGCCTGTAATAAACTAGCCCTCTCTTCTCTAAGTAAGACAATTAATTCACTCACACAACAAATATTTGTGGCGTGCCTGCTTGGAGCTAAGTTTTGGTGGGCAAGGAAAGACATATGGGAAGAGTGTGGCCCTGTGTCCCATCACTGTCCCTTCTCCAGGATTCCAACAGATCCATCCGGTTCTCAAATGACACAGCTCCCAGATCTCTCCATCATTCTTCCTCAGCTCATCCAAGTTGTCAAAGTAATTCTTTCAACATTAACTCATCTGGAAAGTATTTATTGAGTCTCTCTTAAAATCTGGCACTTAAAACAAGACCATCTATTTCTAATGTAGCCTGAAAAATGAAGAGCTTAGGAGGAGTTTTACTTCTGTGGTCTGCACAGATTTGTCCGGAGGTCTCCAGTGTAAGTCCATCTCTATCTGTAACCAGCTGTGTGACATGGTGAGTAAGGAGGTTATTTTACTTCTCTGGACATGTTCAGCATGGAATAAGGCCATCAGCATACATTACCAAGCTCCCTTAGGAAGTGTATTTTATTCCCACTGTCATGAAAGAGAAAAAAAGAAACATTACTACATCACAGCAGCGGTCCCTCTCACTCGCTTTCCCACCTTAGTTAGTGAGCCCCCAGCGCCGGGTTCACCCAGCAGTGACCACAGCAAACTCAGCATCTGCTGCGTATCTTCTGTTGCTGTGGCCTTACCCATTTTGTCTTTCTCATCTCTGTTTTGCAAGCAGCCTTTTTAAGAAGGAGGGAATGAATAGAGTCGAATAAAAACTTTTTTCCCCACCACATCTACTCTTCCACTTAACACCATAGCAACGAGCAACTCTCCTCCTCCACAGACAACTCTTCTTTCTCACACAGCAAGAGGAGAAAGAGGAGAGAATCAGAAAACCCACAGCCTTGGGGAGGCTTCCTTGCCTTGCCCCAGGGGGGAGGGGTGGACGACAGTCTGACTAGACAGGAGGACAGAGACTGCGAGCAAGTGGGCTCCCGGGTGTGGTTTACAGAGGCTGAGCGCCAGGCCACTCCAGTGAGGACGCTGGAAAAATTGGCAAAGGCATGTTTATGGGCAGCTCCGGGCATGGATGAGGCTCCTGTGCAGAGTCCGAGGGTGAAGGCTTCAGCCTTGATTCCCAGATGTTTCCTAGACAGGTTCTTTTAAGCATCGCCTTGCCACAAGCAGCAGACATAATTAAAGGGTAGCCCTTCTGCAGGACGCCTGCCGCTCTGTGGGTGCAGGGAATATTTTGGAGGGGGAAGTGACACCTTCAACAAGCTTTGTGAGAGACAGGCTCTCTGGAATATTCTTACACAAAGCCTCTGTCTTTTCCCTGAGGCAACCCCAGCTTAATGCAACTTTTAGACCCAGGATGTCCCTTGGGACAGGAACGCCTCTGCTTGGCTCCTGCTTGGTCTGTTCCTACTACTGTCATAAAATGTCACAGACTGGGTGATTTAAAAACAATAGAGATTTATTTCTCAGAGTTCTGGAAGTGAACAAATCCAAGATCAAGGTCCTGGAAGATTCAGGTTCCTATACCCTTCAGAGGGGATGAAAGCCGTGTCCTCACAGGGCAAAAGGGGCTGAAGGGTTGGGCAGCTCTCTGGAGGGTACTAATTCCATTCAAAAAGATGGAGCTCTCTTGTCCTAATCATCTTCCAAAGGCCCCATCTCTTAATGCTGTCACCTTGGAGTTTAAGTTCTAACACGAATTTTGGAGGGACGTATATATTCAAGCCTTAGTGTTAGTAGCCACCAATCAATCACCCCAGACATCTAGGAGCTTTTCACTGTGATTTGATCCTGAGTGGTAAGCATCTGCTGAATTCAAGATCTGCTCACCTATAGCTGCATGACCCAAGAAGGATCTGTTCCTCCCTTCTCTTTTGCTAATTCCTTGGATTTCTGATTAGGTCCTCTCTGACTAAGTATGAGACTGGAGTTTTGCAAAGATGATAAATTCTGCCGACCGCTTTGCATCAGGGTTCTGGACTGCATACAACAGAAAGCAACTTTGCTTTTTATATAAATGGAGATTTATTTTTAAAAAAGACACAACAGGCAGGACCTGTTACATCAGGTGTGATGCCATGGCTACTTTTACCCCCACCATGATGAATGGCCATGATGAATGGCCTCCAACCACTGACATCTTTGCTTTCAGTACTTTATTAAGATTCAAAGTCTAGGGAAAGAGTGCTCTTCTCCAGGCCACCTGGCATGTTAGGATCCCTTAGTCTCAGAAGTAAGAGGTGGATCATCTGAAATTATTTTGCACCAAGACTACCCCCAGTAGGGAGAGGCAGAAGGTAATTCACCAGTAAGAAAGTGTCAGGCTATTGTGAAGGGCAGAGGTGCCAGGTAGAAGAGATGATGGTGTCCATCACATGGATGGCCCCAGCCACCGTCTTGCCAAAGGCAAGCACAAGAAAAGTAAGTTGTTGTCTAAACTTTCTGAGTTTTATCATCTTTGTCTTTTTCCCCCCTTATTTCATTTGTCTGTTGACAATACCAGAGGCAGCATCGCATAGAAAGTCCCCCTGGATTAACATGTGCCTCCAGCCTGCCATTTCCCAGCTTGGTGTCCTCTTCCATGAAATGAGCCTCGTTCTGTCAGCCCGGCAGGGTGGCTGTGAGGACTGAATGAGGGAACGGGTATGAGTGTTCTTGAAGAGCAGAGCACGTCTCGTAATTGAGAGATATTAAGCTTGCTCTGAATGGGCCAGCTGTGCTGATCATCAGCTTTTCATTTCCTCCCAGCCTCACCGTCCCTTTCATTTGCTCTTGCTCTGATTTGTTTATTTAGTTAGTTGTACCCTGCTTTATTCCTCCGAGGGTTTGGCTTTCAGGTGGCAGAGTTTTCTCCCCAGTTTCCTGGCAGGCTGATTTTGGCTCACATCCTGGCCTCTGTCATTTCACGGGGCCCTTTGTCCTCTTCCTTTGGATTCCAAGTGCAGCTGATCCAAAAACAGGGACAGGTGCAGGTTGACTCTCTGCTGGGCAGCCTTTCCTCAATACCCACAAAGAACCAGGGGGCATTTTCCTCCTGCAGAGGCCCCTTCCTCTCCCTCCCAACCCTCTCCTCTTCCTCCTCTTCCTATTTTCCTCCATCTGTCTGTATTTGAACCACTGTAGCCTGGCAAGCTGAGATACTGTCAGCATCTCTCCTCCTTTCTCAGGGTCTGGACGTAACATCCTTTCCTAACCTATTAGACGCCAACAAGATGTCATTCAGCTGTAGTGGTACAAAAAGAGACTCTCAACAGGAAAGCATTCTGAGAAAATAACGCCCCCCATCCTCTGCTGGGTCCCCTGGAAGGAAAAAACCTAACAACAAAATAAAACTGAGCAAGAGAGAATTCAAAATAAAGAATGAAGGGTAAAGAAGACATGGGAAAGTGAGCATTGGAGTCACTTAAATATAAACCAGAACTAAATAAATTGGAAATTACAGTTATGGAATGGCTTGCCCATATCATGAACCTTGGAAATTAAAAAATAAAAACAACAACAACTAAATTAAACAACAAAAATACTAACAAAAATAGGAGGGAATATTTAGATAGCTAAAAACAAAGACTTCAACTTTTTTTGTTTCTAAAAATTTGTGGGTTTTTTTTTATACCTTTAGTTTATTTATTTATCTGTGGTGCTAAGGATCAAACCCAGTGCCCCACACATGGTAGGCAAGCGCTCTACAACTGAGCTACAGCCCCAGCCCAAGACTTCAACTTTTAAAATTTAATTGTCATCACTATTTTGAACTAATAGGGCCCTCTGAAAATTAATACCTCTGGTGGTACAGAAATTTTTACTTGAAATTTATAAATTCTTTCAGTTTAAAGTCAACCTTCCCCATTTAATTCAAGTAAAATTAAATTTATTTAATTATTATTAAAATAGCATATATAGCATCATTCACTTCCTAAAGATGTATTTTAATGGATTTATCTGGCCTTTCATCTGTATGTATTCAAAAGAGAGATGTTTAGAATTATATTTTGTAACTTTCAAAATATTCACATTATTTTAATGATATCTATTTTGGGGGGGTTAAGTTTGGGGTAATTCTTTTACTTTCTTTATAGATCTGGCATTACTTTAATTCCTTATGGCAAACTCAGACTAATTAGAAATTATAATCATTACTCTCAAAAACAGCGGCCTAAAGAACTCCAGGGGCAGAGGTTGTAGCTCAGCGGTAGAGCACTCGCCTCAAACATGTGAGGCCCTGGGTTCGATCCTCAGCACCACATAAAAATAAATCAATAAAATAAAGGTATTGTGTCAACTACAACTAAAAAATGTTTATATATATAAAAAAAGAACAATGTCTGCAGCACGGGCAGGATGGTGCACACCTGTAATCCCAGCAGCTCAAGGGCTGAGGCAGGAAGAAGTTCAAAGCCAACCTCAGCAACTGAGTGAGACCCTGTTTCTAAATAAAATATGAAAAGGGCTGGGGATGTGACTCAGTGGTTAAGCACCCCAGGGCTCAATCCCAGGACAAAACAAAACAGAAAAACAAGGACTCTCAGTTAATTGGGAAAATATGCTGTAGGAATGAATAATTTAACATGTATTCTTAGGGGTACCAGACTCTATTATTTATATTTATATAGATTCTCTCTCTCTCTTTTTCTATGTGTGTGTGTGTGTGTGTGTGTGTGTGTGTATCCTGCTGATTTAATTCAGAACAAGTTTTTAATTTTTTTATTACACAGAAAAATGGCCACTGTGATATTTCCATATGTGCCTACATCATGAATTGATTGTATCCATCCGCCTTTCTTGTACATTTACCCCAACTCCCAACCCCTTCCCAGTCCCCAACTAACCCTCTTCTACTTTCAGGTTGACTTTTTATTGATTAGCTTTCTTCTTTAGTTTTCATATGGGCCTGGCAACATGGTTCAGTGGCAGAGCACTTGCCCAGTTTCCACAAGAGAGGCAACATGGCAGCTGGGGTCTGGCTTATTTTGCTTTATATTATATCCCCCAGTTCCATCCACTTTGCTGAAAATGACACAATTTCCCTTTTCCTTATGGCTAAATAATAATTATGGCTAAATAATAATTAATTTTTTACACATACACATACACGCACACACGCACACATGCATGCACACACACGATATTTTCTTTATCCATTCATCAGTTGGGGAGTACCTTGCGTGATTCCATGTCTCAGCTATCATGAAAAGTGCTTCAGTGAACATGGGCATGCAGGTATTTCTTTTGTATTCTGATTTTATTTCCTTTGGATGTATATATTTATCCATGAATAGCATGGCTGGGTCATATGGTAATTCTGTTTTACAGTTTTGAGGAAGCTCCATACTGTCTCCCATAGTGACTATGTACATTTCCACCAAGAGTGTGTAGATTTTCCTCCCCTCTACTATATATCTATATCTATATCTATATAGATATAGATATAGATAGAGATAGAGATAGAGAGATATAGATATATAGATAGATATAGCAGAGGGGAGGAAAATTAATATAAAATATATTAATATATATTATATATA